CACAAGCCTGGGCATGGAGAGGGGTGGCTTTGGACAATGTGCTGGGTCTTCAACTTCTCACTTCCTGTGAATATCTCATATTTTCAATCTTTTTTTTTTTGTATTCTGAAATTAGCAATAATTTTGTAATGTCTGCAGATCTCCTTACTAGTTTTAAAATTCTAATGCTCTTGATAGTTGCACTATACTGAGTCTTCCCATTTTACTGTAATTTCCCAGAATTCTCTGCCCCTTCTTATATCTTCAACTAGGATTCTACTGCCTGAGCATGCCACTTGAACAGCCATCTATTTTCCCCTGGTCACAGACTCCATCAGCCTCAGAAAGCAATTAGTATCCACTAATTTACCAAGTAAAATTACCAAATTTTTATTGTTCATTTCCTCTCCTCCATATTATCTTTGTAATAAATGATCTAGGATTTTGAACTGGCATATTAATCAAATTACTCATTACTTTAGGATACGTAATTTTTTTTTCAGTTTCTATCATTCACTTTGTTTTATCTTACCATTAATCCAACTTCTCAGTGCTAGGTGGGCGCCTTAGTTTGGGTTTTAGTGCTGTGAAGGGACATCATGACCATGACAATTCTTACATAGGAGAGCATTTAATTGGGGCTGGCTTACAGTTTCAGAGGTTTGCTCATTGTCATGGCAGAATGCATGGCACCACGCAGGCCCACATGATGCTGAAGACAGAGTGGAGGGCTCTGCATATTGGCCAGCAGGCAGCAAGGAGAGACCGTGTGCCACACTGAGTGTAGCTTGAGCATAGGAGACCTCAAAGCCTACCCCCCACAGTGACACATTTCCTCCAACAAGGTCACACCTCCTAAGTGCCACTCCTTATGGGCCAAGCATTCAAAGACATGAGTCCGTGCCTATTCAAACCACCACAGCAGGTCTGTGAATGTGGGTTAGTGACACAGCAGCTTTCAGCTTTCCCATCAATCAGGTCTACCCTGTGAGTTTCCAAGTACCATACCAAGAAAGTCCTGTGGTGTGAGCTTTGTGCTACATGAAGTAACTCAGTTCTCTTGACCCACAGATGTCCTTGAGATGAATACTGTTCCCTGGATATTGTTCCCTGCCATCCTTTATCAGCTCTCTTTGAGTTGCCTACATGCCTCACCTTTCCTTCCAAATGCCACACTTTCCTTAAATCCCACAAGTAACCTCTGTTTCTGTGACAAGATAACCTAGTTCTCTACCCTTTCCATGGTTCACATCCCTTTCCATGTTGCAGTATGGAACAGAGATGACATTGCCACGTTCCTCTGCTCTGCAGCTCTCAAACATGAGATTGCTCAACAGTCCTTCCACTGTTTGATAGACCTTTGCCTCCATTCACACCCTGGAACTATTGCTGGGTGTCAGGATGCTATAAATCTACTAGGTGTGACCGTCAGGAGCCTGGGGGGGTGGGGACTGAGGGTGGGAACAGCAATCCTGCCTGGGACCATCTGTTCCAGGAAAACGATATTGTACACAGTGAGGGTTACAGCATATCCACACATTTGTGTAAAGCGCATCGGTCGTATTCTTCCCTACTGTTACTTTTCCGTGTGTATGTCCTCTTTCTGTCCCTCTCTCCATTCCCTTTTGTCTTCCCTCATATTCTGCTTTTACATCCAGGTTCCACCACCACCCATTTCTACAAGTGAGAGAAAACAGGGCATTCATTGTTATGGGTCTGCTCTGTACGCAGGGCTTGTCACTTGAACCAGTGGGTATGCCCAAGGAGAAGAGCAAGCCAAGATGGAGTCTTTAGGGTCTGGGTTTGCCAGTGTGCTTCACGGAGAGCCAAGAACTTTTGGAAAGAGTCTAGAATGCAGATTCCCTCCAGCTGGGAAGAGGGTGATGAGGTGCCTCCTGTGCCTTTCATGCTCTTCCCTGTGGTCATTCACTGTTGTGACGTTGCTAACACGACAGCATGGATGAATGTGGAGCATGAGCGTGGTTTCACCTCTGCCCCTGGGTGGGGGTGGGGGGTTGCTAGAGTATCTGCTACAGCAAACAGATTGCCACAGCCAGCCGGGAAGATGGGATCTAAGAGGACTGGGAGAAAGGCCGAAAGCTTTCTCTTTTTGGGGGAATGAGGTATAAAGGGGTGGGGCAGTCTCTTTTCCTTTATCTTGCCCATCCCCCCCTTTGGTAATGACTGTTTTAATTGAACACTCAGCTTGTTTTCCTTCCTCTGGCGTGTCTTCTACATGATTCCAACTCTAATTAATGCCTGCAAATTTCATCAAAGGTGAAGTGCTCTTATCCATTTTCCCCTTTGGGGTGCAGAATATTTTTCTGTGCAAAAAGCCCAGCTTCCCACTAGCCATGTCTGTTTCAGTCTCCCTCAGAGCCCAAGTTCACTGGCAAGAGACCTTCCTCCTTCCTCCTTCCTCCACATGGTCCTTCCAGGAAACAGCAGCTTTGCCTCAAACTCAACAAGGACTTGGGCTCAGGACAAAAATAAAGTCTGAAAGTGATTTCTCTGAAGAGGGAAAATGCAAGGTTGAGAAGCAAAACCTGCTTGCTGATTCTGCTGAGAGAGGCATCAGTGTGAGCTGGGGTGGGGTGGGGTGGTGCTCCTTCCTCCCCAGGAAGGAGCAGCAGCCTCTGCTGCTGACACAGGGCTAACTGATCTGCCCAAGGTTAATGCCAGGTGCTTCTTCCATTAACCCTCTCCCTAGGAATCACAACCCCAAGCTTGAGATAAGGAAGTCAGTGCTCAGCTGGAAGTCCTCCCTGCTGGGAGCAGGGTTGGAGGTTGAATGAGCTCTCCCCCTTCTTCCTCTCAGAGCACTGTGCTTACAGGGGCACAGGGTGTCCTGTGTGGTTGCCATCCCAGCTGACCATCCTCCAGCAGAATGGGAATGGGTGAGAAGAGACATGCACAGTCTAGCCTCCTCTCTCCTTCCTGCCAGGCAGGCACCACCAGGACCAGGCCAGGGACCTAAACCCAGAGCAACCAACCAGTGTGTGATGGCTGATGGTGAAGGAACCTACTTCCAGGGAAGGATGCTTCTTCAATAAAGTGGGAGGCCAGGTGTCTCGTTTTGTTTTATTTCTTTGTTTGCTTGCAATGTAAAGGGGCGAGCATGTTTTGTTTTGGCTCAGCTTCAGGCTACAGCTCATCAAGGCATTAGCAACTTGAAGCAGCTGGCCACGCTGTACCTGCAGCACAAGAGAGAAATGCATGCTAAAGTTCAACTAGCTTTGTCTTTTATTCAGTTTAAGACCCCACGCTCGTGAAACTGTGCTACCCACACAGGGGCAGGGGCAGAAATCTCCCCACATCAGTCAACCCGATTAAGATAATCCCTAACAGACATTCCTAGACAAGACACTCTTCTCCGAGGTGATTCTAGATTGTGTCAAGTTGACAGTCAAATCTAACTATCAAACAGAAACAATAGACACAAAGGTCATGGTCAGGTTAGTAGAAGAGACAGGGTGATGAAATCTGTGCCATGTCTCCGCATTCCATGGACAGCACTATTTTAATAACTGACAGGAGACCCACAGCAAGTTCAGGCTTGCTGACAGATACTCCCTCCCAGAAGGAGAGGGAAGAAAGGGTTATTTCATGCTCACTTGAGATTCCAGCCACTTGCTCCCTCCTGCCTACTCATCCCAACTGCATGCAGTTCTGCCTTAGCTGTACGTGGTCTTGTTTGGTGCTAGAGTACACAGGAGATAAAAGATTGACTGGAGGAGAGACTCCTCTATGCAGGTATGGGGAGGTAACCCATCACTCATGCTGGGAAATATATTTTTAAAATCATTATCAGTGTAGCTTTTTGGAAGGGTCACATACTTGTCTCACTGTTTGATCAAATGCCTCGACAAAAGAAAGTTAAGGAAGCAGCATTTACTTAGCTCACAGTTTAAGAGTGCCATCCATTAGGTCATAAAAATTGTGGCAGCAGGAAGTTGGGGCAGCTGGTCACATCGCATCCACACTGAGGAAGCAAACAGAGATGAGGAAAGCTGGTACTTGTTGGCATGGCCTTCCCTCGCATTGAGAAGGTATATGTTCAATTGTTAATTCTGTGTCAGCAGAAAGCTAAGTGATGACAGGATTTTGGTATTATAATTTCTGTGGCCCTGTTTTCTATTTGTAAATGCTTGTCCTTCTTCACCTGCCAAAAGGCAACCCATAATAGATGGACCAGGTGTTATCTTGCTGCTGATCAGTTCAGACTGGAATGTGGCTTTTTGTATAATAAAGAGCTGATGGCCCAGAGCTGGGGTAGAAACTACTGGAGTGAGACTTGCAGGCAGGGGAGATGCTGACAGACTCAGAGAAAAAAGACAGAAGGAATGGAGCATGGAGGTAGGCAGTGGAGCATGGAGGTAAGACATGTCTCTATGTCTTAATTAAACCTCAAGCACGATCCTCAGAAGGCTCCAAACAGGTACTCAACACACTTTATTCAGTCCTGGATCAGGACTCAGGTGCTTTTCAAACTGATAGATAAGCAACCTTATCTTCCCCAGGCCAGACATCTTGGCTCTTTCTGATTGGTTGCCCTTTTTCTGTTGCCTCTTCTGTCTAGCAAGAAAATGAAGCCCATCAGGGAGTTTGTCAGGCTTATTTAGCCAGGCTCTCTTGCCTCTGTGTCCTTTTGTTGTCTGACCAGGAGTGACTTTCCTGCACTGAGACATCCCCATGGCCTATAAGATCATGTGCCAAAAGAGCTGCCATTTCTCAGCCCCAGCCTCCAGTGCTTACTGATGTCTAGTTATATTGGCCCTATTCTGCTCTTCAAGAGGCTCTTGTCAATGTTGGTGGCAAATCCTTTACTTCTTCCATTACACCACCAGCAAGAAATAGAGTCTAATCCCCACCCTCGAATATAGTATTAAATGACTGGGTTGACTACTGGGGTAGAGAAGTTACTCTGCATTTTCAGAGGCTGGATCAGTCATTAACGGATTAACCTCTCTTTCCCTATAGAACAGTCACTGGTAAACTGTAGTCCAGAAGCCAGACACATGTTTTCCATTATTGTTTTATTGGGACACAACCACACAAATTCTTACACTGTGCAGGTTAAGTCTGACAAGGCAGAGTTAAAGGGTTCCTGAACACCAAGTGGCTGGCAAGGCTTAAGTAGTACATGCTTTGTAGTGCTGTTCACTTACGAGGCAGTGTGCCTACTCTTCCCTCTGAAGTCTGGAAGAGCAGAGCAATGGGCCTCTACTTCTGTTACCATGCCTGCTATGGAGCAGGTATTAACCCGTGTCTGTTAAAAGAACTGAAAGTCTTGAAGCCCCATGGATCAGCCTGCTTCCCAGGATGACTTCTTTTTGGCAGGGCAGGCTAGACGGAGACAAAGGGAGCTCAAAGATGAACGTACAGCAAGAGAGGCATCAGGATTGAGGTCTCAGGTCTCAGTTCAGCCCAAGAAGCCTTTGACAAGTTCCAACCCTTAGTTGTAGGTAAAGATAAGAGCACAGGGCTGGTAGGGCCTTAGCTGACTTTCTGAAACCCACTGCTATGCTCAAGCCCCCGGTAACACAGGGTATCACAGGGCCATTCTCAGTGAGAAGACCCTCCTCTGCTTCCCTAACAGGCTTGGGCTGGGCTGGACCCTAGACAGAAGCTTTGTAGCAGACGCAGAAGAAATCCTCCATTTTATCAGGAAGGAGCAGGATGTGCCGAACGCCATGCCACATCAGGGTTAAACTGAACAGATGACAGTGTGTGATAACAGGCTGCACAAATGCATACCTGCTACTTCCAGGCTGCTCATACATGTATGAGGAGAGACTCTGAGATACTACAAAGGCCTTTTATCCCTAATGCCACCCGACATGGTCCTTTGTTGAAAACATACTGCATATACACCTTTGTTGTTACTCTGATATCATCTATCACCCTTAAGCCCCCCAAAGAAAACATTTGCTCCTCTCTTTACCTCCTTCTCTCCCTCCCTCCCTTACACCAAGACCCTCAACTTGGCTTCCATGGGTCCATGGTGGGCGGACTCTACTTAGAAGCTGGGATCTTGAGCTTTGCAATAGTACCGGAATCCAGAAGTTCCAAGTCTTGAAGGGCTTCTAGCAGCTGCTCCCGGGCAGCACCAATGAAGGAATTATCCAGAAAAGCAGGCAGGCCTCCCTCACCATCACGAAGGATGTACAGAGGCACCCGCACCAGGCCCAGCACCTAGGAAAAGCAGATGACACATGGGACTTGAAGCATCTCAACAAATTACCTTATCTGCCTTGGGACGGAGCTCTCCAGAGAACAACCAGGCAGAACCGAGCCCAATAAAGCCCAATAATCACACTTCAGGAAAGCTTATTGAGCCCAACACCTCCGACAAATGATCCCTTTTGGGTCCCCAGCTCCATCCATGCTAACCCTTCTCTATCCATTTCCTCACCCTCACCGACTACTGCCTCCAGGAGGCAGGCATGGCTGTAGCAGTATTTCCTAACACAGAACCTACACAACTGTACCACTCGGGTGCTCAAGAAAAATGCAAATATTCAAGTCTTCCTCTGAGCTCCTCATCCGGCCAGGAACTGATTCCTATAGACTGTTCTTCTACACACTGCGAAAGTGTGCCAAATAATCGGTTTCAACACTGCTCTCACCCCAGTTTGAGAATCACTTAAATACACACACACACACACACACACGCGTGCGCGCGCCTGCGTTTCCTTAGCATTAGAATCGCTGTCATACTTTCTGCAGAAGGAAAATTATGGGTCCAAAGTCAAGCACTTAGGGTGTCATTAGCACTTGGGGTCCCTATTAGCATAGGGAACAGCAGAGAGCGAGCCTTGTATGTGTGTTCCACAAAGCTCTCTGCAGAGGCCCCTAAAGGCGACCAAGTTGGAGATATTACCCAACCAAGATCCCAACTAGTTCATGCCCCTTGAAAGTGTACAAAGTCGGAGGGTCAAAAATCTCCTCCACCCAGTGGCTTTCCAAGGTGAGGGACAAGAGGCAGGGCAGTCGGGAGGCGATAAGAGTGGGTGCCAAGCTGGTCCCACCTCCAGCCCGTGGTCCTTGGCTTGCGGTGCCCTGGCTTCCACAGCCTGGAGCTGCTCAAGCGTCAGGCGCTTGGCATAGAAGTGGGCCACCACGCGCGGTCTGGCCGCGAGGTGTGAACTCCGATAGTCGGAGCGCTCCACGCGGAAGACAGACACCGCTTCGCCCAGCTCCTCGCGCAGTTCGCGGTTCAGCCCGTCCTCCAGGGTACTGTCCTGGGCGTCCACGAAGCCGCCAGGGAAGCCCAGGCGCCCGTCGAAGCGCATCTGCATCTGGGGAGGGAGGGGGATGATGGTTGGCCGGGGCACGCGGGCACCAGGGCGGGGACCGGCCGTGCATGCCGCGTCCTCACCAGCACGGCGAAGCGCAGCGGGATGCGGCCGAACAGCTTGCGGGGGTCGGGCGCATAGAGCAGGGCATGGCAGGCGTGGCGCCAGCCCGGCCCAAGCGCCAGGGCCTCGCCGAGCTCCACTTTCCGATCCCCGGCCATCTCCGGGCTCGCACTTCCGGGTTGCTGCGGACCACAGCGCCGCGGGGCGGAGCTTGGAGAGGCTCGGCACCAGCCAATCAGGATGGGTCTCTCAGCAGGGCCGGAGAAGACAGTCTGGTTGCAGACAAACTGAAAGCTCCCTCGGGATTGGCCCTCAGGCTAGGGCACCGAAGGTAAGCTTGTAGTGCTGTGGCTCGGTAGGGTAGACACAGGCTCAGGCTGCAGTGTTACAAGTGGTAAAAATGTGGGGACCGTGAGAATAGAGAGGGGGCGCAGGGGCCAGTGCTGGGACAGTTTAGGACCTGGGTAATAACAGCTTTGGGGAAGAGAGGGGGAAGTGGCCAATGATAGGTGTAGGTACGAGGAATAACTGCCTGACCCTGGGCTTGTGGCGCCTGGTACAAGGAAAGTGGCCTATAGAACATTCACAGGTCACAGTAGGTTTGGGGAGGGGTGCCTGGCTGTGGATGTGACTAAAGCGCAGGAAAGAGAGTTGGGAGGAGCCAGAGAGCGGGTGTGGCTCCCACGCACCCCCCCCCCCCCCCCCCCCCCCCCCCCCCCCCCCGCCCACTGCAGTTTGGCAGGAAATTAAAATACCCTCAGATCTTTAAATTCCAAAGAGGAATAGGAACGAGGTGAGGGACACTTTTAGAGCCTAATGCTGAGAACCTGGGATTCAGAACCCTTCACTTCTGAAATTTAGTCCGTATGCGCAGAACCTGTATGTGTGTCTTCAAGTCCCAGCCTGGAACTCACCCTGACTCACCCAGACACAGGCTTGTGACTTTAGGAAAAGTCACTCAAGTCTCTCTGGTTCACAGTGACAGATCTGTTGATGGAGATGTAAAGTTCTCAGAGCCACACACACAATAGAGGCAGCTTTTCTTTTCTTTTCTTTTTTTTTTGAGTTGAGGGTGGAAGATCAGTGCTGGGTCTTATGTCAAAGATTGAAGCTAGCGTCCTAAGAAGGGGGGCGGCATCGAGAAATGCCTAGGGACATTGCCCCTCAGTCCCCTGAGTAACAGTGCAGAGATGCCATTTATTGAGACAGTCACATCATGGTGAGGCCATAGGTGTGACTGGCTGAGGTTCAAGGGACTGGCAAATAGTCCTGATTAAACATTAGGGTCAGCTTGAAACAAAACAAAACAACAAAAAAATTCATAAAATCCTTAGGATACCTCCAAGCCCAGGCCAATTGCAAGAAAAATCTCACGGGGTAGTAAGGGAACATGATGGTTCTTTGTTGTTGTATTGTGTATATGTGTAGTGTATGGGTGTGTACGGGTCTGTGTGTGTGTGTGTGTGTGTGTGTGTGTGTGTGCATAAGACATGAGGTACATGTTCACATATGCGTGGAGGCCGGGGGTTAACACTGGGTGCCTTCCTCTATTGCATTCTTCCTTATTTTTTTTGAGAATACGCTGAACACTGAGCTCACTAACTGTCCAGAGTGGCTGGCCAGTGAACTCTGGGGCTCCACCTGTCTCTAGAGTTACAGGCATGGCCACCACACTCCGCTGTGTGTGGGTGCTGGGGATCTAGACTGAGAACTTCATGCTTGTAAGGCAGGCATCTTACACACTGGGCCATCTTCCCAACCTGGCCTTTTTTTTTTTTTTTTTTAAGATTTAGTTATGTATTATGTATAGCGTTCTTCCTGCATGTATGCCTACAGCCAGAACAGGGCACCAGATCTCATTATAGATGGTTGTGAGCCCCCTTGTGGTTGCTAGGAATTGAACTCAGGACCTCTGGAAGAGCAGCCAGTGCTCTTAACCTCTGAGCCATCTCTCCAGCCCCGCCCTCCTCCCCATCTCTCAACGTGCTTTTTAAAAACCACATCATTTGAGAAACCACCAAGGTCAAGAACAACGTTGTCATCCTCCATGATTTCTTCTTGAGCTCCTGCCCTGACTTCTCTCAGAGGATTGTAACCCAAATGAACCCTTCTGTCTTCAAGTCGCTTTTGATCAGTGTTTTGTCACAGCGACAGAAAGGCAAACTAGGACACCATGTCTTTCAAACAACTCTTTGCCTCTGTCCTCCCCTGAATTCCCATCCCCTACCCTGCCATACAGACACAGCAGGCTGGCAGTATACCTAGTCATATGCCTAGCGCTCTTCCATGCTGTCATTATAGACAAAAAGGAACTCCATGGCTGTCATTGGGAGATGTTAGGGAGCCCAAATGGTTACTTTTTTTTTTTTTTTAACAAGACAGGGAAATAAATTGCACATTTTCCCTTTCACTTAAAAAGTAAAGGGGCTCACCTCAGGGGGAAGTATTGTAGGGAGTTAACCCTCCTGCAAGCAGAGTGTTAAGACTCTGGTGTTCAAGACTGCGTACATCAGGCTTATGATATTAGCACTATTATAAAATGAAGTGTGAATCTTGGTCTGAACTGTAATAACTACAAAGGAGCCCTTCCAGAACATCCTGAAGAGATTATGATACAACGATTATGCTTTCTGTAGTAACAGGTTAATATGAGCTTGATATGAGTTTGTGAGTTCATGTTTGGCCTGTATAGTCCTACAGGCATCTACATATGGAGGCATTTGTAGGAATGCCTACCCACAAGGATTAATGAACAGCTTCCTTTATGGTTGTTGTTGTTCTGTCAGTTGCCATGATTTCCAATGATAGCAGAGGCCATGATTCCTGGTGATAACGCACTTAGGGCCCAGATATTGCTTTATAACATCATATCCCAACAAAAGAAACCAAGGTTCCCTAGAAAAATTCCTCTGAAAGGCCAGAAAGATTATACAGTGTATAGAGTGAAGATTGTCCATCCTGTGATGTCAGGGAGGAAGCTCACCCCCTCCAACACCCAGGAAAAAGACAAAGTAGATCAAAAAAGTAACCCCCCCCCCGCACTGTTGTTATATCAGAGACAGAAAATCACAGGTCACTGTGATTTTCAAAAGAGTTTTCAAAGCAGAAACGGTTTGTTACTCAAACTGTTTACTCTTGGTTTATTTGTTTATTTTTATTTATTTATAATGCGAAGTAGGAAAATAAATATCCTTGTCCCTGTGCCGATACAGAATGCAGATACAGGTGTTAACTGCTACATAGAGACAAAGCATCCTCCGCGTGGAAGAATTAGAGATCATTTCTGGAGCTAATTTCTCCTCCAGTGGAATATAGCTCAATAGTGACTTCCTTCCCAAGAGCAAACAGTATAAAAAGAGGAAAACCACAGAGCAACCTGGTAGCTTTGGAGAGAACTTGACAAACACTACCTTAGCTGGACAATCAAGGTCAGCATCAGTGTGTCTCATTGACAGAGGGGACAAGATATGATGTCAAGGTCAGCATCAACATTGGTGTGTCACATTGGCAAAGGGTAATTAACATGATGTGATGAAAATGGCTCTTTTTCCTAAGGCCTCCCTCCCCATAAGAGAGAATTCTGGTCTAATCATAAGGAAAGCATTGAGCCGGCCTCAGCAGAGGGACCTTATAACTACCTTATAACTAAGGTAGTTGACCAGTAAGCCTCCAAACTGCCAAGTCTATGTCTTAATTCTTTGGAGTTGCTGGAACAAAATGCCTTAGACTGGATGGCCTACAGACAACTAAAATTTATTTCTCACAGTTCTGGAGCCTCAGAAGTCTAAGATGAGGAACTGACAGACTTGGTGTCTGATGGCCCTTGATTCACAGACCAACTTGTAGCTGAAGTCTCAGAAGGTTCTGGGGAAGCTCTCTAGGTCTTCTGCAAGGTCATTAATGTTATTCAGGAAGGCTCCACTCTTATGGTCTAGTCTCTACTAAAGACCCCCATCCCCAAATATTAACACAGGGTTAGGATTTCAACATACGAACTGAAGGGGAGAGGTAGAGGGCATAAATAATCTATACAATCGGAATAAAAATGGAAATTTCCAAAGCTGCCTATGGAATAAAGGAGAGCCTCAGAAAATGAGATTCAAATGAAATCTGATATCCTGGAGCAAAGATGAGGCTGTTAGATAACAGCCAAGGAAATCAGAATAAAACTTTGGTTACTGAGAATGCTTCAAAACTGGCTCATCATTTTAAGAACTATACCATACTAAATTAAGAGATTAATAGGGAAATTGAATGGCTTATGTGGGAATTTCCTGCACTGTTCTCCTAATTTTATTGTGAATATATACTGCCTAAAGTTAAATTTACTTTTGAAAACCTAGGAAGGCACATTCACCAGACACTGGTTAAGGGAAGTTTACAGACCAGTTGACCTAGTTTCTGCCATAATTGAATTATATGGGAGAATGAGACAACGGAGGGGATTCTTACCATGAAATCGATCGTACACACAAATCAGCTGAAGGCGGTGAGGGAAAAATGATGAGATACTCTAAATTTAGTAATAAGGCCTGAGGATGAGACAAAAATGAAAATGAGATAGCTAATAGCCTTGGGTCAATTAGCAAATGCACTCTTTATTCCTAAACTTATGCTGAAATCCTTGACTCAAGCCCCACAGTGAAGACCCTACATAACTGTCTACTTACATGCCAGCAAACCAAGGAGCAGCAAGCGCCCTGCCTGCAGAATTTGCTGTCCCGAGCTTTTCTGGAAACACAGGATCCTGCCTCTCTCAGGGAGGGCTCAATGCAAGCAGAGCTTTCAAAAAATGCTGAGTTTTAGGTCCCTCAGCATTTACTCTGTTACCTGGTAACCCCACCATTGGAAGTTCTGAGAACACGTTCCGGGACCTGGTGTTCTTATGGCTAAATGTCTATATATCATGCATCCAATCCTTACTTATCGAGATTAAATGCCCAAAACAACATTTCTGACCTATGATGCCTCACACCTGGAGGCTAACCACTAACAACTCAAGGAACCTTACCTGAAAGAGCTCAAACAAAAACAAAAACAAACCAACCAACTAATGTAACTTGTTACTCAATAGGACAAGAGGAGGTCCCTCTGCCCACCAGGGGTCCTGGCATGGGGTCCTGGCAGGAAGCCCATGACAACAAGGCCCAGTAACTCCCCCTTCAACACCCGAGCAACTAAA